GTCAAAACAAAGAGGTAAGCAGATGATGTGGATATTAAGCTATGTAATACTCGTTTGGTCCTTATGATACAAAGTCATAAGCTAAGTAAGTCCATCTTAAAATAGTATTAGACCTAACATATATAAATAGACAAGTTATTTTATTATCTATGCTTTTCTTATCCTTTCTTTGTCTCATTATATATTTAATGTGTTTATCTTATAGCTGTGTACTGTGTAGAGCTAGCTCTTACATGAGAGCTAACACTTTTTTTCATCTCTCTGCTCCACATTTAGATATAGTTAGTTGGCTTATAGCCTAAGGCAAAATTTGTTCTAAGGCACTATAGTTTACGGTTGTCACGGGATTGTGGTCTTTTGCCAAAATACACTTTGTTTTATGGACTTGTGGTCTTTTGCCAAAAGAACTTACTATTTTACTATGTTAAGAAAAGTGGAGGAAAAACTTTCAAATTTTCTTCCGTTGGATTGGCCTGGAGATTTGTGCGCATGATCAGGAATAAAAAGTTGATGGAGTGCTCTGTGACCAGGCGTCGAAATCGTGATGCCATGCCAGCTAGGGGGCATATGCTCTCCACCTCTCCGATTGTGTTACAACGCAAGTTTTAATTTACATAGGTGTTACATAGTTATCTGTCAAAAGTTAGATATATAGCCACTTCTTTTAACCTATCCTCTTCAATTGGGAAGAGAAAACTTTTGAAAAGATGAAACTGCCCTCAGGCCTGCCTGGTAGGTCTTCGGGCAATCTCTTCTTTTAGAAATTCATTTGAAGAGTATATGTCAAAACAAAGGCTAAAGTGTGTCTTGGCAAAGAGACGCAAAACTAGACCATCATACGGCGAGCCGCATAATTATATTATCCTAGGATAAATGTCACAATTCTAGAATGACCTAGAGCAAATTTTGTCCGGTTATAAACTCCTTAAAGTGATTGATATCATAAAAAGTGGGTCAAATTAATATCTATCTCTAGATTGAGAAACAAAAATACCCCTAACAATTTTAATATATGATAGCCCAACTGCTAACGACGAAATCACCATCATTTCGTGACAATCTTGTTCGTCGTGGGGAAGACCTCCAACCGTCGCTAGGATAGGCTGAAGGTGAACTTTACAATGATTTTCTTTTTGTGAATTCATCACAAATCAATGACGGATTCCCCATTTGTCACAGAGAATCTGTCTAGGAAGCTGATCTGTTGTAGTGCGTTAACCCACATCCAATTGTATTTTTTATGGTCTGTTTTTGTTTTGGTTAGATGAATTTGACTTTACATGTATGTAGATTGAAAACTAATCACTAGTACCGATCCTAGAATCTGTGACGGGCTCAATTATGCCTGGACTACTTGGACCGTCAGAACGAAGTCATCTTAATCGGTAAATTTGCACCGTTGTAGATGTACTCACTCTAGGCCCAAGTACATATAGCCCGTCACCGATGACACTCATCTGTGACGGGCAAAGATTTAGGCCCGATTGAGATGACCTCGCACATCTCAATCGGGCCCAGACACCGAGCCCGTCAGAGATGAGGGTCATCGGTGACGGGCTCCAAATATGGCCCGATTGAGATGATTTTAAAGCCCGTCACCGATGACTCATATCGGTGTCGGGCTTTTGTTGATGCCTGTTAGAGATAACTTTTATTTTGGTCATTTTTCAATATAACATATTTTTAACAGTTTGAATTTGAATTTAAATTTGAAAATATGACAACTTCAAACAACATTTTCAAATACTTAATGATTTCAACTGAAAAGGTCATCAACAACAAAGTTATATAACTCATCAAGATCTATAACTTTTATTTTGCTCATTTTTCTATATAACATTTTTTGAACAGTTTGAATTTAAATTTGAAAATATGACAACTTCAAACAACATTTTTAAATACTAAATGATTTCAACTGAAAAAATCATCAACAACAAAGTTGTATAACTCATCAAGATCTATAACTTTTATTTTTAACATTTCTTCATCCGATAAAGTGTTAGTAAGATTGTTTACAAAATTTACATATCTGTATTATAGTTTATAAAACTAGATGAGAGATATGTGAATTTTGTGAACAATGTTACTATCACTTTGTCGGATGAAAAAATGACCAAAATAAAAGTTATAGATTTTGGTGAGTTATACAACTTTGTTGTTGATGACTTTTTCAGTTGAAATCATTTAGTATTTGAAAATGTTGTTTGAGTTTGTCATATTTTCAAATTCAAATTCAAACTGTTAAAAAAATGTTGTATAGAAAAATGAACAAAATAAAAGTTATAGATATTGATGAGTTATACAACTTTGTTGTTGATGACTTTTTCAGTTGAAATCATTTATTATTTGAAAATATTATTTGAAGTTGTCATATTTTTAAATTCAAATTCAAACTGTTAAAAAGACGTTATATAGAAAAATAACCAAAATAAAAGTTATAGATCTTGATGAGTTATACAACTTTGTTGTTGACAATTTTTCCATTTGAAATCATTTACTACCCGAAAAAATATTTGAATTTCTTATATTTTAAAATACAAAATTTATATAGTTCAATCAAACCCGGATGGTGAAATGACCAAAATAAAAATGGTAGATCTCAATGTGTTCTACAACTTTGTTTTTGATAGCTTTTTCATATGAGTTCATTTAGTATCATAAAATTCAATTCGAAATTCATTTTTTCTTAAAAGTCTGATTTGCCTCCTACTCATGATAATACTTGCTAAATATATATTTGATCCAATTAACTCAGATTCGCTGGTGAAATATGTGATCAAAATGGATGTTATGTGAATGTGGTTGTGTTATGTGAATGAATGTATATGAATAGGCGATGCTAGGGTGTGACATCCTGGCCCAGTGCTTAATAGGATTAATAGAATACTCATACCAACAAATTACAATTTCTTTCTCGGAAGCCAATCTCCAAAGAACTGTGAGGTTAAACGGGATGGGTGACCGACTGGAAAATTCATCCTGGGTGCACACGAGTCTGGATTGGTGACCGACCAGGAAGGCACACTAGTGAGGGCAAAGGCCTTAGGCTAACAAAAAAACAAAATTTATTTTTTTTTGAATTATACTCATCTGTGACGGGCTATAATCTAGACCCGTTAGAGATGAGAGTCATCCGTGACGGGCTATAATCTAGGCCCGTTAGAGATGAGAGTCATCCATGACGGGCTTTTATGTTGGCTTGATTGAGATGTGTCATCCGTGACGGCCGGATGCCCGATTGAGATATTTTCTTATTACTGACCTTTGCTCCCTGCCCGAAAGAGATGATGCTTTAAGCCCGTTAGAGATATCCAATCCCGTTCTAGTGAATCTACGTTGTCAGCTTTTGTTTTTCTTAACTATTTCGATCACATTCAAGCTAGAAACGTTATTGTGGTAGTGGTGCCTATCAAGCACGATAGTTAAAAACGTAAATAAATTGGCAATAGCATTCTCATTCCCCCGGTAAGGTGATGTCCAGAAATAGGTCTCCAACCTTGTGACATCAAAAATAGTTTGAACAAATGGTCATAAGAATTGCCACTCACTAAACAATGAGACTGACAACAACGCTACAAGTGATGCCACATAATTAATCTCTCTTTCGTCAAGTACTTCGTTTTGAGATAAATGGTCAAGAACTTAAAATGGGTAACAATCCAATGGTTTTAATTATTAATACACAGGTGGACAGATCACCCCTATTTAGCTGATGTCCACGATAACTCACTCGAGCAGCTGATGCCACCACTAGCACACAGAGACTCGAGAAGACGGCCGGCTCGTCTAACAAAGAATTGTAGCACACGCTTGCCATTCATTTATTGGTTATACTCCATCCATCTCAAAATGTTTGACGCCGTTTACTTTTTTAAATACTCCCTCCGTATTTTAATGTATGACGCCATTGACTTTTCGAATAACATTTGACCATTCGTCTTATTCAAAATTTTTATGCAAATATAAAATATTTAGGTCATGCTTAAAGAATATGTGATGATAAATCAAGTCACAGTAAAATAAATGATGATTACATAAATTTTTTGAATAAGACGAATGGTCAAACGTTGGTTAAAAAGTCAACGGTGTCATACATTAAAATATATAGGTAGTATGTTTGATCGTTCGTCTTATTCAAAAAATTTAAGTAATTATTAATTCTTTTCCTATGATTTGATTTATTGTTAAATATATTTTTATGTATACATATAGTTTTACATATTTCACAAAAGTTTTTGAATAAGATGAACGGTCAAACATATTTAAAAAAATCAACAACGTCAAAATTTAGGGAAGGAGGGAGTATTATTTAGTTCTTCCACGTATAGTAATTGTGCCAAATTAGCATTGATTTGCTTCTTCTGTATTCCGGCCATAGTTTTCGACCGTCGGGGTCAGAAGAGATTGCGTTGAGTCAACGATCGATTGTTATCAATACGAGTTGCTATTTTTGTGTTGTTGGTCATATGGAACCGAAGACCAAAGTGCTGAGCTCTAGTTTGGAGCACCAAGTCAATGGATCTGTCTAGAAAAACTAAAATAGGAGTAAAATTTAAATCATGGCATAAATGCACATACATTACTCACGTTGGCAATTAGACTACTCTAAAAGGAAAATCAATGGTTCATGCGTTGTACATCCATTCAAGCATCAAGTCAAAATTAGTAACAAATCAAATGAATTGAACATCATAAGTATTGATGTTTGAGCAACGAAGACGAGTCCTTTGAACCAGCTGAAGTGGATGTGTTAGAGGAACTCGAGGTGTGAGTGATGTAGCCACTGGTCGTTGATGATGATTGTGTTGCATGTACTTGAGGACGACATTCTAGTGGATGATGTGAAGAGCCCCTCCACTAAGGTCACCGGCAGCGCCTAGTGGACGATGTGAAGAGCCCCTCCACTGAGCCCCTCCCCTACACTCTTTTCTAGAGTGCTACTTTGTAATAATTGGTTGTAGCTCTTTTTAAGCAAAGGTCGGAATGTTAAATTCTATTATCTAAAAATATGTTGGCACAAGCATCTTAGCAGGTAACACCAGTAGTTGCCCACTAGACTGGAACATGGCCATGGCGGTTCTGATAGATGGTCGTGCGCTTGGGTCTGGATGCACACACCAAAGCCCCACAATGATGACATGCTCCAACTCCGACACGTCGTAACCACCGTTGAGCCGCTCATCAGCCGCTGAGACAACATCTCCTTGTCCATACAGGTCCCATGCCCACTCGACCAACCAGAAGATGCCATTCTTTTGGTTATCTTGTAGGCTCATTGGCCTCCTTCCGCATGCCACTTCCAATAGGACAAAGCCAAAGCTATAAACATCAGACTCTGAGGTTGCTCTACCGGTGATCACGCATTCAGGATCAGCATAGCCTGGTGTCCCAAAGACGGCGGTCATCGTCTGCATCCCCATGGCATGGTCGATGAACCTTGCAAGCCCGAAGTCGCCTAGCTTGGCATTGAAAGACTCATCCAGTATGACATTGCTCGGCTTGATGTCGCGATGCACAACGCAATGTTCCCACTCCTCATGGAGATTGAACAGTGCTGATCCAAGCCCAAGAACAATCTTAACCCTGTGACAAGTTAAAACCATCTTAGCTGAGTTAATACACCGATTAATTTAACATCACAAAGGAAGTTGAGATGAAGTTAGAGAGGACAGTTACTAACCTCATTGGCCATGTCAGGAAGGTGCCATTGCCATGGAGCTGGATGTCGAGGCTGCGGTTGGGGACGAGTTCGTAGACGAGTAGGAGCTCGTCGCGGCCATGGCACCACCCGATGAGCTGCACTAGATTGTGGTAGCACAACCGGCTTATCACCTTGATCTCCGACATATACTCTTTCTTCCCTTGCTTGGAGGAATCTTTGGCGAACCTGCTAGTGGCTCTTTGTCGCGTCCTCCTCCTCTCCCTTCCACCGATGTTGTTTTGCCCTTAGTGCGTGAATCCAAATCCAATTGTATTTTTTATGGTCTGCTTTTTTTTGTGTGTTATTGATAGAAACCTAATCTACGTTGTCAGCTTTTGTTTTTCTTAACTTTTTCGATAACATTCAAGAAACATTGCCACATGCCTCTAAGAGTTGAGAGACCGAGATGTATCACAAAACAACTATATGGTGGTAGTGGTGCTACTGAAGGATGATAGTAAAAAAATTAAAACTTAAATAAATTGGCAATATCATTCTCATGTGACATCAAAACTAGTTTGAAGAAATGGTAACAAGAATTGCTACTCACAAAACAATGAGCCTAACAGCAACACTACAAGTGATGCCACATAATTAATCTCTTTTTATTTAATAATGTTCGTCATGGACTTCGTTTTGACATAAATGGTCAAGAACTTTCTCATTAAATAAAGGATAAAATGGGTAACAATCCAATGGTTTTAGTAATTAATACACAGGTGGATGGATCACCTCTACTACCCATTAGCCTGTTCAACTGATGTCCACGATATCACTCGAGCAGCTGGTGCCAGCCACCACTAGCAAACAGAGACTCGAGAAGCCGGCTCGGTCTAACAAGGAATTGTAACACAATCTTGCCGTTGATTTATTGGTAATATTTGTTCTTCCACTTGTATTAATTGTGCCAAATTGGCATTGAATTACTTCTTTCTGTGCTCCGGCCATAGTTTTCGACCGTCGGGGTCAGAAGAGATTGCGTTGAGTCAACGATCGATTGTTTGTTGGTCATATGGGACTGAAGACCGAAATGCTGAGCTCTAGCTTGGAGCACCAAGTCAATGGCTCTGTTTAAAGAGCTGGAGGTTTAAGAAGCAGCTTTAGCTAGTGAGAATCTTAAAGCTACTCTGCTTCATTTTCTGAATTCTGTAATTTATGTGCCTTTGAATCTACATGATAATCTGGGTTACTTAGGAAACTGAAGAGAAAATCACTTGAAGACGGAAAGGTTCACTACTACGAAAATGACTTTTATTGAGGCACCCCCTATTTAGGGCCCCTTTGAATCGTAGGATTGAGAAAACGTAGAAATAGAAAAAACGTAAGATTTTGATAGGAATGTAAGTGTAAAACAGAGGATTGCAAAACGCAGGAAAAACACAGGAATGACCGTTTGAATGAACCGCAGGAAAAACGTAGGAATTGAATGAGAGATGTAGACTCAAAGGAAAGTTACCAAGAGGTTGAAGCTCTTGCTAAATTTCCTCCAAAATCTCTATAGGATTGTCCATTCTATAGAAATTTCAGAGGATTGGATAGGATTCAATCATTTGTTTTAAAGGGCTTCATAGAAAATTTTCCGATAAAATTGAAATCCTCTAAAATTCCTATGTTTTTCCTCCAAATCAAAGGGGCCCTTAGTTTCAAGCGGGCCAAGAAAACATCCGCATATAAAAATATTTGGATGCTATTTGGTTGAGACCCACATGAAGAAATCGATTATCAAATGCGAGCCACTTAAGAGACCTGAATGCAAAAACAACTTTCTAGCCAACCCTCTTCTTTATAACCATTCCCCTACCCCGATCCACTCTCCTCTCCTTCTCTCTCCCTCTCTCACTTAGCTTTTCTCCGCATCTACTTCTCCCCCTCTAGATCCGCCGGCGAAGATGACTATGGCCGGAGCGGGGTGACGGGCTTGCAAAGGCGTTGATGAGCTTCTGGCAGCGGCGACGGCAGGTGCGAGCTAGGAGCTTGGGAACTGGCGGATCCGGCGCTCAGAAACTCAGCGGAGGCAAATCTAGCGCTCGGAACCTCGGCAGCGATGACAACAACAATGAATCTGGCGCTCAGGAGCTCCCTGGCAGTGCTGGCCTCGGGAGCTGTAGGGACATCTGGCAGCGATGCCGACAACGGCGTCGGATCCGGCGCTTGGGACCTCGGCAGTGATGACAAAGACATGGATCTGGCACTTGGGAGCTCGTCGATGGCAATGTCGGCCTCGGGAGTTCCGAGGCTTCGGTGGCGATGACACAACGGCGGTAGCGAAGATCACATGTGTCTATGTGGAATTGTTCATCCTACATGGCACTAAAATAATAGAATAAAAACTTAATGGGACCCGCATGTCATTGAGTTGAAAAATTTTAAAAACAAAAAACCTAGTGGACCCAATAGGCCCATGACATAGGGGTCTCGAGCGATGCCGTGTGTTGTTTCCCCATATCCACATCACTGAAACCGCCCTCTGTAGCGAGCTCGAGATGGCCAGCACTCGAGCCAACGTGGGCAAGGATGAGATGCCATCCTCACAACGAAGATGGGGACAACAACACTGGTGCGATCATCGGAGAGCTGCACTGTTGCCTTGCTCCTCCTCCGTGAGCTCCACCACCGATCCGTCATCCCAACCTTACCACATTAGCTCATCCACAAGAAGGAGGCAGCAATGCTCACCTGAGGCCTCCCCAGTTCACTCTCCCCTTCCCCATTCCTCTGCATCGTCATCCTCCCATGCCAGATCCAACGGTGCCTCCGAGCTACATGGCTCCGACAAAAAATAGACTTGTCCCACCCCCACGGGGGTCCCAACATACTCCCCCGCTCTTCAAAAACTTTGGCCTAAGCCCATTTTAGGACTTGAGTTAGTCCAATAAAAGGAATAAGTTCACCGGAGGTCCCTCAACTTAACAGCGAGATTTTTTTGAGGTCCCTTAACCACAAAACCAGAAATATATAGCCTAAACTCACACAAACCATGCACTCAAGGTCCTATGACAGTATATATGGGTGGTTTCGCTGACGTGGTATCCTAGTCAGCAAAAAAAATTAAAAAAAGTATGTAGGGGCCACATGTCATCTGCACATCTTTTTTCTTATCTTTTCTTCTTCTTCTCTTCTTTTTTCTCTCTTCTCTCTTCTCTCTTCTCTTCTTCTTCAGTGAGGGAGGCCAGCGGGCGGCGGGCGGAGCGGCGATGGGCGGGCAGCAGGCGAGCGCCGCGGCGGGGGAAGCGGTGATGGGCGGCGGCGGGCCCGCACCTCCTCCACATGAAGTCCGGCAAGGGCGCCCGCCGCAGCGAGAACATCTTCTGTGAGACCACCATGAAGTCCACCATCTCCGACTACTACCACATCAACAGCATCAACATCGCGCACGGCGGCCACACTGTCGTCATGCTCTTCTGCTCGCCCACCGCCGCTCATTGCCGCTCTGCCCGCATCTCGGCGCCGCTCCACTGCCACGCAGGGCAGCCGCCCGCCGGCCTTCCTTACTGAAGAAGAAGAAGAAGAAAAGAGAAGAAAAAAAAATGTGTAGCTAGCATGTGGGCTCCACGTACTTTTTTAATTTTTTTTGCTGACTAGGATGCCACGTCAGCGAAACCACCCATATATACTGCCATAGGACCTTGAGTGCACGGTTTGTGTGAGTTTAGGGATACACATTTCTGGTTTTGTGGTTAAGGGATCTCAAAAAGTCTCGCCTCCGGTGGACTTATTCCCCAATAAAATGTTATCCGGACGTTGCACGGCCCAACTATAGCCATCCTCGGTTTAAGCTTTTTCTTCTTTCCGCAACTGAAGCGTATTCTACCGCGTCGCCGCCGCTGCCGCATAGCTCTGGTCGTCGGCCGCGCGCCGACCGAGATCTCCGGTGATGAGCAAGTTCCGGTTGGCGAAGTATCCTGTAGCTCCTCCACGCCTCCCGCCTCCGCAGGTGTTGTTGCTGCTAGCTAGGTCTGGAAGGGAACTATCCTAATTCCAAAATGGCGGGACCTTGTCAGGCACTTCACGCCGGCGGTGAGAGCGGATTCTCTGACGATGCTGCACCGCCCGGCGGAGGACGCTAGGCTGCGACAGTGCATCGCCGCCGACTGTCCCTACCGGAGCTTCCTCTTCCAATAGGTGACTAGATGAGGGTTTTGCATCCGTTACCTCATAACCTCAACTTAATGTGAAAAATGCTTGTGGTTGATTGGTCACAATAGTACTGCTGTTTTTTTGTTTTGTCCAATGTGAAAAAAATTGTTTTTTCGTGAGATAATTTAGATGTGATAAATGCCCAATTTGGTGTCCAACACTAACTTTCCTCTAAGGTTGGGTATCTTCGTATTTATTAGTTTAGCCTCTTAACGTTTTCTGATGTCCCTTCAACAAAAGAATGTAAGGGCTTCAACTTAATTTTAGGTAAGCACAATCCTGCATCAATGTTGAATAGCTAACTTGGACATTCAAAAGAGGCTATGCATGGACTTTTATAGATGAAAAATTGCTGTAACTATTGTAGTTTTTAATTTCGAATGCGTAAATCACTGGAGCTGTTTCTCTTTGTCAAAATTCGTTCTCGTTACTCTTCTGTCAATCATCCTGGTACTGGTTGGTTTGACCAAGCGCGTTTGATCATGGCTAAGGACATAATGTGAAAGAGAATGGGTCACTAGCTACTGTGCCATCATATAATGTTTCCAGATCTTTCCTTTCTTCTGGAAGGAGTAGGGTCCAATGGGTTGTTCTATCAGATTCTGTTGAGAATTTTGCAGCAGCAAACCCATTGCTGAACCTATCATAACCAACTCTTTTATTTCCAAATTTGACTTGATCGATCCGTGAGGTAGCAGAGTTGTCAATCCTGGATGACATGTTTCTTGCATGAATGTCTAATTTATTATTATTTGTTTTGCCAGGCTGACAAAGAGCGCTGCCCGAATTTTCGTTAAGATTTGGGGAGAACAACCTTTTGGTTGAAAAGCTGAAAAACAGGGCAAAACAACCAGCTGAAAATCTACAGGTCATAGTGAGTGAACTACTATGCTGGTACTATTTTGTAGTGTTAACAATTTTGCTTGGATGTTCTTGATTCCACCACCGAAGTATCCAACATAAATATCCACGATTTGAGACAATTGCATAAGAACTACTGAAAATAAGCAGTCTTTGTACTATTGTCTATAGTCTGTAGAGGCCATGTTCCATCTCTATTGAATTTAGCTTATTATATTTAGTTCATGTTGTTTACACCTTTGCGTTATTCACTGAAAAGTGAAAACATGCAAACTATGTGAAGTATGTAAGAGTTCTCTTCTCTTGGTGGTTTTTTTTTTCATTTTAAAGTTCTTCCAACTTCGACAATTCAGCCCTCTAAGGACTAGGATATTCACTTAAAACATGCAAGGTATGCACTTTATAGTAGTCAGACATTGAAGAGAAAATGGCAGGATAAATCTATCTAGAAAAACTAAAATGGGAGTAAAATTTAAATCATGGCATAAATGCACATGCATTACTCACATTGGCAATTAGACTACTCTAAATGGAAAATCAATGGCTCACGAGTTGTACATCCCATTCAAGCATCAAGTCAAAATTAGTAACAAAGCAAATGAATTGAACATCATAAGTATTGATGTTTGAGCAACGAAGACGAGTCCTTTGAACCAGCTGAAGTGGATGTGTTAGAGGAACTCGAGGTGTGAGTGATGTAGCCACTGGTCGTCGATGATGATTGTGCTGCACTTGAGGACGACATTCCAGTGGACGATGTGAAGAGCCCCTCCACTGAGGCCACTGGCGGCGCATATGTTGGCACAGGCATCTTAGCAGGTAACACCGGTAATTGCCCACTAGACTGGAGCATGGCCATGGCTGCTCGGATAGATGGTCATGCGCTTGGGTCTGGATGCGCACACCAAAGCCCCACAACGATGACACGCTCCATCTCTGACACGTCGTAATCACCGTTGAGCCGCTCATCAGCCGCTGAGACAACATCTCCTTGTCCGTACAGGTCCCAGGCCCACTCGACCAACCGGAAGATGCCATTCTTCTGGTTATCTTGTAGGCTCATTGGCCTCCTTCCGCATGCCACTTCCAATAAGACAATGCCGAAGCTATAAACATCAGACTCTAAGCTTGCTCTACCGGTGATCACGCATTCAGGATCAACATAGCCTGGTGTCCCAGAGACGGCGGTCATCGTCTGCATCCCCACGGCATGGTCGATGAACCTTGCAAGCCCGAAGTCGCCTAGCTTGGCATTGAATTACTCATCCAGCATGACATTGCTCGGCTTGATGTCACGGTGCACGACACACTGTTCCCACTCCTCATGGAGATAGAATAGTGCTGATCCAAGCCCAAGAACAATCTTAACCCTGTGACAAGTTAAGACCAAGTTAGCTGAGTTTAACACGCCAATTAATTTAACATCACAAAGGAAGTTTAGATGAAGTTAAAGAGAACAGGTACTAACCTCATCGGCCATGTTAGGAAGGTGCCATTGCCATGGAGGTGAATGTCGAGGCTGCGGTTGGGGACGAGTTCATAGATGAGTAGGAGCTCGTCGCGGCCATGGCACCAGCCAATGAGCTGCACCAGATTGCGGTGGCGCAACCGGCTTATCACCTTGATCTCCGACCTATACTCTTTCTTCCCTTGCTTGGAGGAATCCTTAGCAAACCTCTTAATGGCGACGGCGAGGCCCTGCTCTCTCAGGTATCCCCTGTACACGGCACCGAAGCCGCCTTGCCCAAGCTTCTCCTCCGCCGCAAAGCTGTTCGTCGCCTCGATGAGGTCTTGGTATGGGATTTGCCTTGGCCCCATGCCCATCTCGATCTCCACGATGGGCTCACCGTCATCGTCATCATCGTCATCTCTGGCCAACCCTACGTGTCTCGCCTCCTCTGCCTCTTCTACCTCCCTTCTCTTCTTGCTCCGACGTCGCCGCACAAGGACAACTACCATGGCAAAGAGGAGCACGACGAACAGTGCTGCACCAACGGTGGCTCCAGCTATAACTCCGGCAAGTCCGGAACCTGAGGTGGTCGGGGAATGTTGCACCGCCGGTGGTGGATTCTGCTGGAACGAGGAGTTGAAGTACCAAGAATGCAGCTGATGGAGCTCAAGGGATAAGCCCGTCGCCGCCAAGATGCCGACGGAGACCTTCTCCGGCAAGGCGCTCTTGAGATCGACGGTGGTGCTAAGGTTGTAAAGTGTAGTCGAGCCATTCGTCCATGTCTTCACCAGCTGGGCCGACAGGATGCTCGAGCTGCTGTTGTAGTCGACAATGGCGGTCATGTTCCCGGTGAGGCTGAAGCTGGGCAGCGACTCGGTCTGCACCGATCTGATGGAGTTGACGTCGATGCCGATGTGGTCGTAGGTTGCGTTGGGGTCGAAGTCGCGGTTTAGATAAGTGTCGAATTCGACGGCGACGAACCGGTTCTCGCCGGGCTGGACGGTGTCAAAGTACCGGCTGGTGAGGCCGAGGGCGCCACCGTCGCCCTTGTCCGGCATCCTTGACGGGTAGCCGACGAGGAAGAAGGCCATCCCGTCGCCCTTGTTGTCCAAATTCGTCGGAGTGATGTTGAAGGAGAAGCGCGTGGTGAAGCTGGCAACCTCGCCGGTGGCGGCGTCCCAGAGCTGCACCGGCGGCGTGTACGCCACGCGTCCCATGGTGCCGCTGCTCGGCAGGTTGCTTCCGGTGGTGATCTCGATGCACCCCCCGCCGGCGAACGCCGCGCTGCCCTGGAGGGTGATGTTCTTCGCGTTGCTGAAGGTGGAGTAGTTGAAAGATACCGTGGTAGCGACGACGCTAGGCAAGCAGCGCAGCATGACGAGCAAGCAGGCTAGAGCAGAAGCGGCAGCCATGAACGGTTTTGTCATGAGGACGCCGGCGGCCATGGCCGGTCTTTGAGCAGAATCAGCGGCCGGACAATACTGCCAATACGAAAACTACTACTCGAAGAATCAGCAGGTCGCCACTCGGAGAGACCAGTCAAGATCTTAAGGACATAGCGAGTTAGCGTAGTGAGAAGAACTCTACTAATTTAACAAGTTGGTGCCTTGGTGGTTGGCAAATCAATTAGGCTCCATGAGACCATGACTCTGACAACTCTGGTTCCTCGGAAAGTGCTGTATCATATTTTGTATATTTTCCTAATAATTTTAAATGAAGTTAAGAGTAAGTTTCGTTTCTTGTTGGTATCTTCAATTTTCTTCTGATACATTTTCAAGAATGATAAAACATCAAGCTGGTTTATAAAAAAAAAGGTGAAGCTTTGGACATTGGCATAGGCCCTGCAGATTGAGTGCAAATTTTTCGTCTTTTTTCACCAAATTTTATAAAAAAAATTATAAAATTTAGCTGCTCCTCTTACTTGATCAAATATCCAAAGATAGATGATCTGAAATCTTGATGGTATGTTAACTAGGGCTACGTTCGGGAGGTTGAATTCCACGGAAAATGGGGTTGTCCATTAGCACGTGATTAATTAAGTATTAGTCTTAAAAACTTGAAAAATAAATTAATATGATTTTTTTAATGTAACTTTTCTATAGAAAACTTTTATAAAACACACACCGTTTAGCAGTTTGGAAAACATGTGCATAAAAAACGAGAGAGTAGAAGTTAGAGAAAGTTGGTAGCGTGGGTACCAGACTTGCTGTGGTAGTGTGGTGGCATCAGTTTTTTATTATTATTATTTTCATGCAGGTAGTGTGGGTACCAGACTACTCCCCTCAGTACTAAAATTTAAGTATTCTTAAATACTTTTAAATTGGAAGGTTTTGATTGGTTAAAAATAGAAAATAGGTGTATAAATTTTAGAAGTTTATGATTTGTTAAAAATAGAAAGTAGGTATAGAAATTCAATGAGAGATTGTTATTATTCACTGTAATGAGAAGATAAAGAAGAAATAACTATATTTTTTAAGATAAATTTAAACTCTAAAAGTAATTATACTACTCATCCGGACAAATAATACTGGTCGTTTTGAACACAAATGAGAATATAAGATCAAACTTTAAAATCTTTATCTATAATAATTTCTAAAATATTTATCTTAGAAATATGGAGATTATATGTATAGAGTAGTCTTAAAAAGTATTTTAATAATATCATTTATTTGTTATTGTTTTCATATATATTATAATAAAAAATAATGTTTAAAGTTGTTTTCTAGATGTTGTAGTATTGTCTCGAATTGGAGGGACGAGCCAATATGTTGATTTGATATATGCGAGTGGCACTGGCACACATTCGAGTTGGAAATGCATAAATGCATGTGCGTGAACAGAAGAAGATACCGCCGTGCTTCTTTGGTTCTTTGACGTAACTTGTTTTTGGCTTACGCTTACCCCCACTTGCCTTACTTTCTGGATGTCAGTTTTATCGAAAGAGATGCGGGCAACTTAACTAAACCCACTGGTTAGTACTATACACTGTTGGGTATACCCTCTTTGCTCCCGGTTTACAACCTCTTTAGTCCCGGGTTACAAACTGGGACTCTGAAAGCAGGACTAAAGATATCTATCTTTTGTCTCGGTTGAAATAACTGGGACTAAAGATTCACCAACCAGGACTAAAGGTCTTCTCTTTTTCTTTTTTTCATTGTTTTTTATTTTGCTAATTGCCGACATTCCCAAATCCCCACATCAAATTGACGTCACAGATCGAATGAACATACTAAACAACAAAATCATCCACAAATTCACAAATCATCTAAAAAACCACAAAATCACAAATCGTCCGCCGTCAATGGCGGCAACATCTCCTCTGGCGCCGCCCGCTGTTGACGGTCGTTATCGATCAATTTCGCCCGTCAATATTACCGGAATAAAAGGAGAACTAGTCATGCTTACAATGCATATAGTGTTAGAATAAAATAAAATCCACTATTACTTGGTTTACTAACCTCTTGTAGAGAATAAGCAATAAATGGAGAAGAATAGGCATCAAAACACTCGATCGATCAATCAGACGATGCCGAGAATCAGACTTAAAGGAAGATGGGCTGAAAATATCAATTTCAGAAGACCCAAAATGCCCAAAATTCATAAGTCTGCGGAGAGATGAAGTCAGGGAGGCCGCAGGATAAAAGGTGGGCTGGTTGGGCCGGCCTGAGGTAACCCTCCTCATCGCCGTTGGATGCAGCGCTTTGGGGGAACAACTTAGATTAGCCCCCAATGATGGTTGGAGGGTATTTCCGACCATTCCAACCATCACAATCGTCATTGGGAGGCTATATAAACCCCTCACCCTCTCACTTTCTCCACACACTTCAAGCAACAAAGCTCTCATATTCTCTCAAGTTAGTTTAGTGCTCTCAAGCTAGTGGAGTCGGAATAAAATTGTAGTCAAAGTCCGGAAGTCTTCGGAAGAGTTCGGGTATGGCTCTAGTAGCTTTACTTTCTTCTTTTGTAAGACTAGTATTTAATTTAGAATATACTTTTGTATACGACTCTGGTATTGTAATACTCTCCAATTATATGAATACAAGCTTTACAATGTCTGAGATATTATGATTATACTGCTAGCTTATCTGGGAGATGCATTGGTACGGGTATAATGTTTGCATATGAAATTACTCTATGTCATGACGATGATACTAGAGTAGTATCTGGTAGTTTAGGCATGGTATCTAGATTACTCGGTATCATTATTTGGGGTTATATGCTGCGGATGAGAGGTGGGCCGCTGATGGCGACAGCTCAGTATGGGTATTCCTCCGCGCGTGTATATAGTCCTAAGTTAATTCCCTGGGGAGGGTACTCCTCCGTATTTAGCCCTGGTTGAATGGTTATGACGGGCTGTCGTAAGGAACTCAGCTGTCAGGGGTGGCTTCTCAAAGTACCAGGAGGGCATCGGAAAGGGGGTATTAGCTAGTTAATCATATACCTAGGATGTATGTATAATATGTATACTAGAAGTATAGAAATAGATTCTTTTCTATACTCTTTCCACTTAGCTTAGGAGATTTAATATAAGAATGAGTAGCTTATGCTTGTGTGTCATTCTACCCTGCAATTATATTTACCCCTGCTTAGACATGATTAATACAAGTAACATATAAATATTAGTTTGGTTCTCTCTATTATAATCTTCCCATGGGATAAACAAATATGATACCCTTGGAATACTCTCGGGTGAAATGCTACAATGGTATATCCATGCGCTTGTGGATAAACTCTGTAACCATAATATACCATGACTATTTTTGGCGCCATTGCTGGGAATTATATTTCTAGTAATGTCGTTAAGAAATACCAACAAGCATTTCTAGCGCCGTTCCCGGGGAAGATTTGTAAAAAGAGATTACTAAAACTAATATCTTATATTTACCTCTATATAATCACTGTGCTTTGCAGGCTAACCATGTTGTTTTCACCTTTTGTTGTGAAAACAGGGTAGTGCATGACAGGTTTCGACTTGCCGGAAAATTTTCAAGAAAATCCAGAAGTCTTCTTCCGAAGCGTAAAGCCGCGGGTTGTTCCCCCGCAGAAGACTCTTCCGACAAAGAAGCCAGCCGTACCAGCGCCACCAACTTTCAAGACTATGGCTGACAAGACCCTCCGCGAGTTCGCTGCTCCCTCCTCTGAGAACGTGGCCACTGGGCCGCAACTCAACATGGGAGACGTGGACTTTGACCTGAAATCCAGCCTCATTACGATGGCGCAGGCTAGCCCATTCTGCGGCAAGCCTAACGAGGATGCTAATGCACATATGCAATGGTTCCTGGAGATCTGCAGCACGTACACCGTAAAGGGCGTCAGTCCTGACGTCGTCAGGCTGCGGCTGTTTCCGTTTTCCCTCCTCGGGAAAGCGAAGCAGTGGTTTTATGCCAATCGTGCCGTGATCAATACCTGGGACAAATGCTCGATAGTATTCTTGTCGAAGTTCTTTCCGATGGGCAAGACAAATGCCCTTCGTGGGAGAATTTCGAGCTTCCAGCAGACACGTGATGAGTCCATTCCAGAGGCATGGGAACGTCTGCAGGAGTACGTGGCCGCCTGTCCTCATCATGAGATGGACGACTGGCTGATCCTGTAGAACTTTTATAATGGACTCACTCCCACGTCCCGTGACCACCTAGACGCGGCAGCTGGAGGAGCCTTTTTCTCTAAGACGGTCAGAGGGGCCGTCGATCTGATAGAGAAAATGGTCTCTAATATGGGGTGGAGCGAGGTACGACTCTAGTCCCATCAGCAAGGAATGCACACCGTCAAGGAGACGGAAATGTTCACTGCAAAACTCGACCTCCTCATGAAGAGATTGGACGAACACGAGAAGAAGCCCCAAGGCACCGTCAAGGCCTTGGACTCACACGTTACGTGTGAAGTCTGTGGCAACACGGGTCACTCTGGGAACGACTGCCCGAAAACCCATGAGGAGGTGATGTACATGGGTAACAACAACAATAACAACAATGGGTATCACCCACAAGGAGGTCAGGGGTGAAACCATCCCCGTCCGTATTTCCAAGGAGGCAATAACCAAGGTAGCTTTTCTAATCTGTCTTCCTTAAAGGATCTTGTCTTTGCGCAAGCCAAAACTACCGACGCACTCAACAAAAAGATGGCTGCCAATGACAAGATCTTAGAAAATATAAATGTGAAACTAGATGGCTTTGCTTCCGCATTTCAAAACCAGTTGAGTTTCAATAAGATGATTGAAACCCAGTTGGCGCAACTTGCCGCTCTAGTACTTGCAAATGAAACTGGAAGGATCCCGGGGCAACCCAAACCCTCCATTGAAAATGTTAAGGTGATCACGACGAGGGGAGGTAAGTCCACTCGCGATCCGCCATATCCTAACACTGCAGGTACAAGCAACACGCGGGAAGCACCATCCAACACAACGGCTGAAGAAGAAATTCAGCCAGAGAAGACCGTGCCGCAAGACTACTGCAACGCGAGGTTGCTGCCATTCCCATAGAGGATCAGGAAACCGTCAGTTGACGAATAGTTCGCTCGATTCGTTGAGGTGATCTAGAAAATCCACATCAACATGCCGTTGTTGGATGCTATGCAAGTGCCAACGTACGCACGTTATCTCAAGGACATCCTCAACAACAAGCGACCACTACCAACAACCGAGGTGGTCAAGCTGACGGAGGAATGCAGCAACGTGATCCTCCACAAACTCCCGGAGAAGAAGAAGGATCCGAAGGATCCGAGGTGTCCCACAATTACTTGCTCAATTGGGACATAGAAATTCGACCTGGCGCTCTGCGATCTTGGGGCAAGTGTAAGTGTCATGCCCAAGGATGTCTTTGACAAGCTCAACTTCACGGTGTTGACACCAACACCGATGCGCCTTCAATTGGCTGACTCATCGGTTCACTACCTAGCTGGGATAGCGGAAGACGTACCGGTCAAGATACGAGATTGCTTTATCCCGGTCGACTTCGTGGTGCTAGACATAGACACTGGCAAGGAGACACCGCTCATCCTGGGGCGTCCGTTCCTGAGCACTGCGGAAGCAAACATTGATGTCGGAACGGGAAGTATCCGTTTCCGCATCAACGGGAAGGAGGAGAAGTTCGAGTTCCAGCCAAGGACGGAACAATGCTCCATGTTCCGAATAAAGTACGGGCCAGCCCCGTAGAACATTCAGACGGTCGAAGTGGAGCCACCCAAAATGGATAGCCTCATCGTGTTTATGAAGAAATCTCTAGAAATTCAACCATCCAGGATGAGGTCCCGTTATTGGAAAACGCCGGTAAAACCCAAGACACCGGCCAAGAAGGAAGAAAAGCTGGCTCAGAAGAAGCCGCCGCCCATACCAAGAACAAAGAAGGTATGGCGTGCGAAGCAGAAAACGCCCACTCCATCACCTCCGGAGACGGGTGAAAAATCCGTGAAATGAACGTCGGAGGTACGGTCTTGCACGTCGGACTTGAAGCGACGCCGCCCTCGCCAATAGGTAAATTGGTATGTATCCTCATATTTGTTTTCATCAATTTGATTTCTGCAACAAAGCATGTTTGAATTTTTTTAAAGAAATTGCATTTAGGTTTGAATTTTGTGGCAATTATTCAAATTGAATTTTTCAGAGCAAAATGGAATCAAATTTTAAATCAAAATTTTCAGTGTCACGACCACACTGATCGATCTTGTAGATTGTTGAACTCTGGAGCACCATCATCCTCCCGTTTGAGTCCTTCAGCTTTGACTTCCTTAAGTTTATCATCATTAGCAGAGCTTGACTCAGGCTTCTCATCAACCGGTGGCAAATCCACCTTGTGTCTTTGAATTACTGTACCCGAACGAGTCAGAACAAATGAATGTAAGTACCGATTTTGCAGTTGATTTATCATCCCTTCAAACCCTTGCTTCTGTTCTGATGTTAGCATGTCCATGGTTATTGGAATCACATTGTCTGGATCCACCTCGGTAGACTTGATGTCCACCATGATGGAAGCTTGTCACACTCGTGTCCCACCGGGCGTGCCAAAAGCATGTTGATGCGAAAAACACACACTGGCCTGAGAGATCTGCTTAACTCTAGTGCAGGTCCAAATCTTGGTTTCGAGTTCAAAGGCATGCTAGTTGGTTTGATCCTGCAACCAACAAGAAACAAAGAAAGAAACACAGTTAAATTCATAAACGATAGCCGATCGGCCATGTGCCGATGACGTATCGTTTGTAATCTAGCCGATGTAACGTGAATTAGATCGGTAATGATATGTAAAGAAAAAAGGACGGTTAGATCTAGTCGATCGGCTGTAGATATTAACAACATATAATCAGTATATCAAAATATGTTGAAACCATGTGACTGGGATAGATCGGACAACTTGTCGAGACAGTATAAATCACTTATGTCTAAAAGTACTTCAATATAAAGATTATATATGTTTATAGCATAGCCGATGTTGCAGATCTGACATGTATCGGCTAATACTCCGATACCACTTTATACTGAGATATCAATATAGACAAAATATATTAAACAGAGATCAATCAAGTATTAAGATGACTTAACAGATTAATAACGTGCTTAATATATTTAATTAGAGTGAGATCTTAATATAAAGGGCAGACTTAGCATATTAAGTAAACATAAAGTAGACAAAATAACCAAATCAGGTAAGATCGGTTGAAACTCCGATGAAACCCTAATCGGCAATCAATAAACAGGCTAGAGATTACTATTCTAATCACAACTTATAAGCTCAAACTTAACTAATGCAGCAATGAGTATGAAAAGAAGAACAATATCTAGATAATCAAGTCATTGATTGATTCCTAGGATGGTGGATATACTATATAATCTAAGTCAACGTTGGTATTTAACCCTATCGGTTGCCTTCCAACAAGAGATGTTTGCCAATTCTAGGTTAGATAGCAATATTGATCTAGATTATATAGGAAATATGATAAATTGACAACTTACATAAACAAGATTAAAGTATCATTGAGATGAAAGCACTAATCCCGAGAACACAAGCCGCCATAACAAGTTTTACCTTATCATCGGAGATCGAACCGATGCAGCCCAACTCGAAAGCAAGAACTCGTCGAAAGTAAACGAAAGTGAAAGGTTGGCGAAGCAGCCCAACACGGGTTGGGCTACTTTTATACCCAACCCAAAGTACATAATATGCCCTTGTCAGACACGACTCCTAACTCTATTACAACTTAGGATACGAACAAGTCCCTAAGGCAGACTCTTACCAACTCAAACTGTAAGTAAATTACATAAAATATCTAATTAATAGATACAATTGCTTTTTTCAGACTCAATACGCACGTGGCAATCCTCATGAAGCATATCAACCCGATCCGACAATGATTGCAATGCCATCTTGTCGGAATCGACTTCATCGGCTACCTTGTCCGACTCGAACTCTGCCGATGCATACCTTAGCCGATTCGATCTCCAGCCGATGCGCACTCTGTTTCCGAAACCATCAACCTCCTTCGATTCCGCTTCGGTTTTAATCTCTATCTCCGATCCATGATTTACCAAATTTGGTCCTTAACACCGACACCGACCTCGACATTGTTGGTGATCGGGAGCTACAAGCCTACCACATGCTGAAGGACCGGGAGTTCGGCCACACCAGGGCGTATGATCCAGAACTTCTAAGAAAAACAGGTATGGATGTTGATTTTCACGCTGTTAGCAGAGATTTGTAGTAGTAGATGAGCCAGGTTCTCGTTTGCTTACTATACAATTTCTGTGCACTTTGAAAGAAACAGAAGATAGCATATCCTTTTGTTTTTTCCATAAGGAGTATACACTTTCATGGAAAGGATTAAGCACACTTCTTGGTTTTCACGATAACTGTAAAATCGATCTTCGGAAAGGAATTTCCGGGTTCGAGAAAAACAGATTTTGGGAAGACATTTCTGGTGCTCCAACTTGCAGAAAACCTAGGACAAATGACATCCATAATCCTACACTTAGGCTTATGCACAAATGGATTGCTATGACTTTGTTTCCTTGAGGTGATCTTAGACCCATTCGGGGAGATGAGTTGATTATCATGTTTGCCAAGGTTAGGAAGACTAAAGTTGCTCCTGTTAAATATATGATTAGGCAATGGTTAGAAAGTATTAAGTATAATGCCCCTGTTGAGTGCACTTCCTTGATCACCCGCATAGCGAACGGACATGGAGTTATCACCACTGATCAAATCGAGTATATCTTCACTGTCCATCCCTATGTGGATGAAACATATTTAATGCAAGGGCATATACTTAAGCATGGAGCCGATGGCTCTTTGATATACTTTTTCCCCTGTACAAATGAAATCCCGTTACCCAATGCGGGGTATCATTTGTACAACTGTCAGGAACTAACCATTCCCCTGCAGACCATAGAAGAATCTCGTGCAGGTACATCCTACAGGGAAACACGCAACAAACCAAGGCAAAAACACGAGGAGTCATCATCATCAACACCCATGCAGATGTACGAGGCGGACTGGGAACCAACGGGGGATGCACCCGGTTGGACCCAAGCACCACGACACAACACAGGAGGTTCGTCCTAGCACAGTGCCAGTGAGAACCGCTGGCAAGCACCGCGTGAAGTACACTGGGGGAACGCGCACACCTGTTCCTCTGGATCAAGCGGGATGCCTCCCGCCTCCAACTGTTGGCGCTCAAGTTCCTCCCAGGACTTGGGTGAAATCACGAGGAGGCTAGACACCCTTGATATGCAGACAGGAGAGATCCAGTACTACCTCGATGGACACATCGTTCAGACGCAAGAATGGTAGGAAAATGCTAATGCTCAGTTCGTTAACATCAACAATCTGATGCAACAACAGCAGGCTGATCTTCAAGCGTACCTTCGCTTCCAAGGGTTCAATCCCTACCAGGGACCCTGAGCGAAAGATAAGCTTGGGGGGAGACATCTCCCCCCACTGAGGTAACTTGTATCACATTGCATATTTTCCTTTTCCATTGCATATTTACATTTCCACATTGCATCCTATAAACCAAAAAAAATGACATAAAAATTTGCAAAATAGAAAATACCAAAAATATAGGTTAGATTTTATTATGCTAGGTAAGACAAGTAGTTCTCTTGATTGAAATGATGAATAGTTGCACTGTTTTATATCTCTTATATATGGATTCACGGTTAAGTAATATCTCAAAGATTAAATAAAAGTGGCCACATATTATCCGGGAACCTGAGGTAAGTGGGCTGCACTTGCTGAACTAAGTCTAGGTTGTTGTGAGATATGAGATAGTGATAAGAGCTGCTATGATCCTGTTCTAAGTTTGACTTAAATTTTGGATGTTTTATTTTCTAAAATGATAAACTTAGAAGTTCATCATTTGATATAAATTCCTACCAGAGCCAAAAATATTCATATTGACAAACCATATATATTTTTGGCACTTGTACTTCCATTGAACTTTGTCAAATTTTTGAGACTTGTGTAGATACTTTTCATGCTCTATGATCAAGATCATACACCCACATATATGCACATGCGAACTTTTGCACTAGAAGTTAGCATCCATCCATTCCATTTATATCTATCATGTTACCACCCAAATAAAGCTCTCTAATTATATGCTTTCTCCTCCCAAAATAATATCCTTTCCAAAAAGAAAGAAAAGAGGGAAAGACATGGTTATGAAAATAAATTCTTGCTCCTCAAAATATTGAGCATGATAAAAAAAATATAGCCATGCCCCCTCCTAAAAAGAAATGAAGGATTTTTTAGAGAAGAAAGAAAGCACAAAGTAGAAGTATTTTCTTTATTTTTTCACATTCCATTTCCACCATATATCACACACTTTATGTACGATCTTGATCTTGAGTATGTCTAGTCATATGCTCTAGTCTAAGTTTTTGACTTAATAATAAATGTGAATACAGGTATGCCATGTTTGATCCCTACCAAGCTCCACATACTAAACCTTAGAGTAGGAATCAACAAGGTTACTTTGGTGAGGAATTCATATTTATACACTTTGAGTGATCGAGAGGATCATTTGAGGAACTTAGATTTCTTTTGAAAAATCATTTGAAAACTTTCGGAATAAAAAGTTGAATAAAGATTGGGTGACTAGTGCTCATCATTGCTGTTCTGTCTTTCAACCGCTCAGGGCAAGGTAAAGCAATGTCTCGCGGGA